AGATAATAAAAAGTAAAATAGGGGTGGTGCCACGGCTTAGCAGGCTCATGTTCTGCCTGCAGCATTGGCATCCCATAGGGGTGCAGGTTTGTGTCCTGGTTGTTCCACTTCTGACCCAGGTCCCTGCTCATGGCCTAGGAAAGCAGGACCCCCGTACCCATGTCGGAAACCTGGAGAAAGAACAGAAGTTTATCTCACACACAGCTCTAGGGAGTTCCTTCTCTTTCTGTCTCTTGGCCTTGCAAGTAAGTAAGAAGAAGTGAGGGGACAGGGAAGAGTTGGGGCAAACATCACTGAAGAAGAAAAGTACCTTAGCAAATTCTACTGTTTCCAATGAAGGAAGGAGAGGCAGAAACCCGGCAATTTATTGTAAACTCCCCCAGGTGCCAGCATGCTAAACTTCTTAGAGGGCCTCACGAAGCCTTGATGCTCTCATCACCTGAAAGAAGGCAGGGCCCACACGCCTTCTGAGACTCAATCCCGAACACTCATCTCCCTTCCCACATGCTAGAAGGTGTCTGGCTGCTTGCCATGAAAACAGATTTTCCTGCTGTGGCCACCAGCTAAGCTCACCAAAGAAGTATTTCATCCCCCCACCCCAGCCCCGCTCCCGTCTGTTTTATCCCCAGAGCTTGTGTACCTCTTGGGGCCAGGCACCCTGGAGCCACCCACAGGAGTGAGACTTTGCCTCCTCACCCAGCCAGAAGGCAGCAGTGTTGAAAGCAAAGTATTTGATTCAAGGCCGGAGCAGCGGGCTGCAATGTGTCAAGTGTGTCATGGAATTTTTCTGGCCGTGGTCTGTGTCTAGCCAAGAGAGTAACCGCCCTCTCTGGGGAACGCAGAAGGGCAGAGAGGCTGAGCAGAGAAACGCATAAATGTGTCATTAGCTCTGGTGGGAAAATGAAGAGACCCCTGGGGGAAACCTCCCTACTGCTGAAAATTAGAGTCACCCCGTGGAAAAGCCAGGCTCATTCAGACTCAGTGTCACTATCGACTAGCTGTGGCTGCCCCTGAAAGTGTGTTTAAAAAGAATGACTTTATTCTGAAAAGCCTTAAAATGGATTTTTACAAACAAATCATAACATGCACCTTCCATTTTTTTTTTCCCTGCTGAAAATTACTTGCTTTTCTGTGTTTGGTCATTTGCTTACTTGTTGCATTTGTTGCTTGTAGATCTTTGCATGTGGTGAATGTGAGCTGAAGTTCCCACCCCAGGTCAGTCTGATGTAATATCCGGAGCTGGTTCTTCCCTGCCGTCCGGTGGCCATCTCCAACGCTCTTATCCAAAAGTAGCCAGAGAAGCCAGGGAGCCTTTGTTGCCAACCAGCGTCTCCGCGGCTTCCTGCTGGCTGTGGTGTTTCCTACACAGGCATGCCCAGATACACCATTTCAGCCTTAAAATGTCCCAACAACCAAACCTTGCTGAGCACCTGAGATTGCCATGCGTGTTTGGGATGCAATCAGAACCCAAACCCCTAACGTAAATCAACTAATATTTCTCAATTCAGTGCCCATCAAAGGTAGCCTGATGGGCAGGATCCCCCCACATCAACTTTTTTTCTAGATCTCCTCATTGTTTAAATCCCATCTTGAGGGACCAACACAGTGACCCAACGGGCTAATCCTAAACCTGCAGTCACCGACATCCCATATGGGTGCCCGTTCCAGATGCTCCATTTCTGATCCAGTGTCCTGCGTATGGCCTGGGGAAGCAGCAGCACATGATCCAACATAGGAGACCCAGAAGAAACTCTCAGCTCCTGGCTTCGAACTGACTCAGCCCTGGCATTGCAGCCATTTGGGGAGTGAACCCACAATTAGAAGATCTTTCTGCCTCTCCTTCTCTCTGCAAATCTACCTTCCAAATAAAAATAATTTTTTTTTTAAGATTTAAAAAGTAAGCCCCATTTTGAAATCTCAACCTTGCACCAGTTCTGGATGTTTGCTTTTCAGATAAGCAGGAAATGGGGTGTGTGGTATTCTCAAGTCTTTATGGCTTTTATAAAAATTACTGTAAGTGAACAGATACTCAGCTCCCATAAAGCCACGGGAAAATATGATCACTGGCCTTAAAATGACACAGGTTGTACAATCCCACTGTCATTTTCATGGAGACACCTCCCACGCCTAAAGTAACCAAAAACCAAATTGAATTATTATAGAATCCTGAAATAAATTCCCAGGCCTTTCACAGATCTCTGACACGTCACTCCCATCTGACCACGCTGCTCCACCACCCACTGTGTAGAAACTCCTGCCTGGCCAAATCACTGGAGGTTTTTAGCTAAAATTTATGTGCCAAGTCATAAAATCTATCTTGAAAATATCAGAAAAAGTCAATAGAATGAAAAGCTTTCCCTTGTCTCTTTCTTGAAATTCTTCTCTTTGCTTAACCCAATTTCCCAAGTCACTTAGAGTCCTTTAAACAAAATGAAATCTTAATGATGTCTCTGCCATGAATAATTAATTGTTCATGGACAATCTTCTCAACAAAATCCATCCTCATTAGATTAGAGGTTTCCTTGAGACCCGTGAATTCATTATGGCCATTTTGACGTCTTTCTTGTAGCTTTCCTTTTGTGTGTGTGTCCTTCTTATCTGTGTCTGTGATCTGAGATTCCAGAACTCTGACAACTTTCCAGAGAGGAAGACTTGTGAGACAATTAAAGACCTTTGAGAAGGGGCGGGTTTCTCTGTGTCTTGATGCGTGATGGCGTGACTAAGGAGAGGGCAATGGAGAGTGGGGGCTCAAAGTGGCACCTTGCAGGAGGAGAGAGGAGGCGCCGGGCCTTGCCATTGTCTTAGAATCTAACTTCATCCATCACCCTGCCTTGATGGCTGCTAAGCCCTGGGAAGGAGGGGCCACTGTAACAACAGAACACTTTGTAACTTCTTTTCGGAAAGACCAATAGCTGGACCCCACTGTCCATTCAAGTTCAGCCACTGCCAGCCACTGCACCATACAGAGCCTTACTCTTGCTGAATTGGATCTGAGTTATTAAGCCTGTATTTGAATTCCAAAGCCCAATCTAGAGAAAAGGAGCTAAGGTACAACTTCTAACTCTCATTTAAACTTTTGCTCCTAAGCCTAGGACACGCATGGATTGTGACAAAATTATTCTAGCTTTTTAAAGTAATAAGCTAAAGAACAGTTAGACATGGGATGCACTGGGCAGGCGCCAAAGCTCACTTGGAAAGTTTCAGACTCAGATACACTGATGCAGTGGACACACTTTTGTAGCCTGTTTTCCACCTAGTCTATCCTGCATGCTTTTGTGGTTACACTGTAGTCCACATCATCACTGACAAAGCTGCCTGCACTCCAACTGAGAGAACTCTCCACCTTAACAAACCACGCTCTCTTCTTTCCATTTCTTGACTTTTGATAATGCTACGGAGTGCATATTTCTTTCTTTTTTTTTTCACTTCAATTAATTTTATTTGAACTTACTTAATTTCTTAAAAAGGTTTTTTTGGGTTTTTTTTTTCTTTCTTTCTTTTTTTAATAGTTGATTAGGGTACAAAGGGTCAAGGGCTACAGGGTGAAAGTGGGTAATACCATTGTTTCCATGCTAATGTAATCATTTTTCCCTCTATCTGGGGTTAGGGGAGTAACAAAGGGAAAAGCCCCACCCAACCTCCCACCCATCCCCGGTCCCCAACAGGAGGCGTGCTCCAAGGGTCCTGCTCAGTTTTGATAGTTCATCAGTTCTGGATTGCACTTCCATGGGTGCAGCGATGTCCACTCGCCCTCGGGTGCAGGTTGTCCAAACCCTCAACTGGCCTAGCCTGATAGGGACAATCTGAGCCAGGTCAGCCATCTGGCCCAGCAGGGGGGATGTTGGCTGAGAGGTCCATGGCTCATGTCAGAGTGCCTCGCCTTGATCCCGGGTCCTTGCCCCTGATTCCAATGTTCTGTCAAGGCGTCCCTCCGGAAGCAGCAGGTCACACGGTTCAGAGGGTTGTGTCCCTGCCCCCACATGGGAGAGCCTGGCCCAGCCCTGACTGTCACAGGCATGTGGAGAAAGCACAAATAGATGGGAACTCCAACTCTGTGTGTGTGTGTGTGTGTGTGTGTGTGTGTGTGTGTGTCTCCGTTCTTCCCTCCCTCCCTCATAAATTTTGTCAAACTACTACTAATGAGTTGACCCAGCCAGCTATAGTCACAGAAGCCCCGAGACAGCCATGCCCCCTGGCCTAGCCACTGCAGGACCCACAGTCTGGGCTGCCACCAATTCCCCCTTCCCCCTCCCCTCCCTTCCCCTGACTCCCCATCACCGTTGCCCCATGACTCCCTGCACAAGGGGTCATCCTTGCTCTCACTGGTTTTCTTATTTAACTTCAACTTGAGAAATAACTTGACCACACAGTTGGTAAAAAAGAGTGCTAAGAGGTCTCCCACACCCTTCACCCAGCTCCCTCTGATGTAACCCATCCACACGGCTGCCACACGAGGCTGCAAACAGGAAGCTCCAGCCAACCTGCTGACCAAGGCTGCCAGCCGCGTGCCAACACCTGTCCCTGGCAGCACTGGCTCCTCCACCTGCCTCTGAGCCCCACCCTGGACTAGGACAGTTCCTCAGCCTGCTAGTCTTTCACGGCCTTGACCCTGTGAACAGTCCCAAGCGAATGAGGGAAATCCATTGATACTCTTGCCAATGCAGATGTTTTTAAAAAAATTTTTTTTCATTTGTTGGCTCATTCCGCCAGATGCCTATGGAAGCTGGGATCACACGCAGAGGCAAAACCGCTGTGCTGAACACTTTCCCTCAAGATATGCTATTAAGGTTATCACTTGGGTAAGCTGCAGCGTGTCAGGGCAGTTGAAAAAGACTTAAGAGCTCTTGTGCTAGACTGCCCATGTCCACCAGCAAGCCCTTGCCCATCCAGCAAGTGCCAGTGGAGACTGGGAAAACGGCTGGGCAGGGGCACCCCATTAGAATGACTGATAAACTGGGTTTTCGCTTTGACTCCTGAGCACCCACTGCCACCTGCTGGGATGCACCAGTACATTTACAAGAGACTGCCAAGTGGACATGTCATGCCTGGTCTCACCTTGCTGGATCTACAACTGTCTGAGCAAACTCAGTCTGCCAGCCCCGCACGTCCTGGATCCAGCCACTCAGAGGCCACAGTCTCCAGTCGCCGCAAAGCTCAGCTTCAGGGACCTACAGTTGAACGCCAGCACAAAGTTTCCTCTGCTCTGGCGCTGAAGTAGCATTCTCTCCTCCAACGCATTCAAGGGCTGAGGCGGGAAGAGGTGAGGGTGACTTCCGATATGTGGTGTCGTGGCGCCATCTAGTGTCCATATGTACGAAGTGCAGCCCGCACTATTCACAGCCCTAAAGACACCTTTGAGTATCATTTAGATCACTACGCTTTCCGTTCCAACAGTCCAGTGCTATTCACCAGAAGGAATATAAACAGCTGTGTACTCGTACTCAGCGTGGCTCAGTCTCGGAGCGTCCTGGAACCTTATTTTCTTGTTTAAAACTGGCCTAAAAAGAGCACAAGTATCTGTAGCAGCTCGAGATGAGCCCGGCTTCCTCTCCACCCTCTTACAGAGGGTCCCTGTGCCCATCGAGAGCCATCAAAAATCGAGGGGAGCGGGCACGGGAGCCATTCCCCGTGTATCCCAAAAGCCTACCGTCATTTCGTGGCTTTGGAGCAGGAACTCTGGTGTTGGGCTACTTTGTTTTGGACGCCAGCTCTAACAGGTGTCTTCTCATCTGTAAAGAAGAAATAGTAACGATGGTAATCCACCTGCCGGAGTTATCGTGAGGATGAACTAAATGGATGCTGAAAGCACTGAGAACAGCAAGCGCTGGACGCGTGGGAGGTGTCATTGATGGCATCGCCTAGTGACCCTGATGCCCAGGTGGCAGAGGTGTAGTGAGAGTGGAGCCCCTCTGAACAGCGCCACTTCTGAGGTAGCTTCCCGGGCCATCGCTAAGGTGAGGCAGGGCCCCAGCTGCGTATTCCTTGCCAACACCAGGCTCTGATGAGGAAACACCTCTTGCTTCAACGCTTTGCGTTACCTGCCAGCCCACCTTGTCTGCTCCCCACGCCAGCCTTCTGCTGGGTAGCGTAGCTCTATCCTTTAACCTTTGGCCCCTCTGGGTCCTCGGGTTCAAGGCGTCTTGCTTTGGAACCTCACAATTAGATTTTGTTCCTTTCCCAGGCTGACAATGTTGACCTGGAGTTGGAGTGTTTAGTCCAGGATTGCCTGATGTAGGTACTAAGGCATTCTGGCTTAAACTGGCCTCCTGTTCATTTTCTATGTGTCCCTATCTCTCCTGGGCTCCATTCTGTTTCTCTCTTATTTATTTATTGTATTAGAATCCAATTTTCTTGGCAACTCACATTCCTTCATTCTTTTTTAAGATGCCATGGAATACCACAGCATTGGTTTATCCATTTCCAGTATAAATGAATATCATTACCACTTCCAGTTCCCAAGATCTCAGAATACTCTAATTCCACTTACCTTCTTCCAGTCTTCCTGCCTTCTGGGCAATGCATTTCACTTCTTTATAAAGTTCTTATAAAGATCCATAAAGGGCCCAGTATGATAACCTAGTGGTTAAAGTCCTCACCTTGCATGCACTGGGATCCCATATGGGCGCTGGTTCTAATCCCAGCCGCCCCTGCATCCCATCCAGCTCTCTGCTTGTGCCTGGGAAGTGTCCGAGGACAGCTCAAAGCCTTGGAGGGAAAAATCCATGAAGTGAACAGTGTTGTTTTGTACCCATATCACATAGGTGTATAAATACTTGCCTTACTCACTTTTTCCTTTTAAGATGTATTTATTTATTTATTTATTGCAAAGTCAGATACATATAGAGAGGAGAAAGACAGAGAGGAAGATAGTCCATCCAATGATTCACTCCCCAACAGCCAGTGCTGTGTCAATCCAAAGCCAGGAGCCAGGAACTTGTGGGTCTCCCACATGGGTGCAGGTCCCAAGGTTTTGGGCCGTCCTCAACTGCTTTCCCAGGCCACAAGCAGGAGGCTGGATGGGAAGCGGGGCTGCTGGGATATGAACCTGTGCCCATACGGGATCCCAGCGTGTTCAGGGCGAGGACTTCAACAGCGAGGCCACTGCGCCAGGCCCCCCACTATTTTTTTTATCCTTATCTGCTTGTGTATGCTGTGACCTGTGGTCTACTTTGCTCAGCTTGCACAACAGCCTTAGCACTTCCTGGGGGTACTTTCTAACATTTTCCTGAATGTCTTTTGTAGAATGTGTTGACTGAACATAGTGTTTTAAGTTGGTTATGATACTAAGTTCTTTGAAAACATCATAGACTTTCTCCCTTCTGACAAATCCACTCTCAGGTTTACTGTCACTCCTTGTAAAGCAAATGTTTTTTTTTGTTTGTTTTTTTGTTTTTTTTTTTTTTACCAAGAAAGCATATTTTGTTGCAGAGTGAGAGATCATGTTGGACACAAGCCTTGGATGCAGGAGTCTTCATTAGCCAATGTTGCAACTGCTGCTCCTCCTTCATGCTGCATGGCTAAAGTCAGGGAGTCCGTTAACTCTTTAAATGCTGCATCTCCCCCTTCTCCACCAGCATGGCCCCATCCTCCCCCAGGATCTTCTCAGCTTCCTGTTCATTCTCTTGGGTCTTTCGGAGCCATCTTACCAACTTCCGGATATGTGATGTTCCTGTTCGGTCCTAGAACTTCCTGTGTCACGGCTTCCCATTCTCTGCTGACACTTCCTGATATCATTTAGCCTTGAACCAATGTCCTCCAGACTTGAGCCTGGGATTGGTCCTTGTGAAGTCAGCTGCAGGTCCAGCTCACCTGGACTCCTGGGGCAGCCCTCCAGGTTCAGGCAGGAGGGCTGGGTGTTCGCAGGGCCTCTTCCACTTGAACCTTGTGTTTCCAGTAAGTCTTCCTGAAATTCTCAGCTCCTCCGCCAGCGCCCCTGAAGGACCACTCACCTTCTGGGGGAGCTTGTCCCCAAAGGCAGTTCTCACCTATGGTTATTGACCCTGTGCTCTGTTCCCTCTGCATTCACAGTAGCTTTCCCAGCTGCCTCCAGGGCTCAGTCCCAGCTGCAGGGGCTGACCCACTGCCAGTTTGCTCCGGAAGAGGAAGAGCTTTTGCTGGACCAGGTCCCTCACTGCGCAGAGGGAAAGCTTTCCACTTCCTAGGAATCCTGCTGGGTAAGAAGGCTGTGGGGGCTCTGAAACAGGGGGCTGCTCTCCACTAAGGAGGGAGACCTGTGGAAGCTTCTGGGGAACATACATCTCGGGCTGAGGACCCTGGGCTAAAGCCTGGGGCGTGTTCTCAGCAGGTTATGACAGCGCATCTCCAGGGGACGCTCTGGCAGAGCCAGCCAAGCCCCCAGTTTCATTTCTGGCTTTCCTCTGTTCCAACGACTTCCAAAATGTTTCCCATTGCCAGAATTAAGTACTTGACATTTCCAAAATCTTCGTGACCTTTTCAAGTTGACACCAATGAGCAGCAAATGGTCAGAAGTTCCTAAACCCACCCCCCCCACACAAGCCCTCTGCCCTCCTTCCCACCCTCTCCCTCCTGCATCAGATGTTGCTGTGTCCCCTGTCCCCGCCCTGCTCCGCTTCCCACTCTTCCCCACCCCCACACAGGACAGTGGGACTGTGAAGCTGGCACTGAATTGTGACTTGGGTTGTGTTCAGTATTTGGGGGCAGCTATGCAAACAGATAAGGCTATCTTCACCAGTGGACTCCAGGTCCAGCTGCCTAGGGATCATTAAGTCCTCACCTTAAACGTGCCAGAATTCCATATGGGCGCCAGTTCTAATCCCGGCAGCCTCACTTCCCATCCAGCTCCCTGCTTGTGGCCTGGGAAAGCAGTCGAGGACGGTCCAGGGCCTTGGGATCCTGCACCCACATGGGAGATCCAGAAGAAGATCTGGGCTCCTGGCTTTGAGTCAGTGCAGCACCGGCCGATGCAGTCACCTAGGGAGTAAATCATTGAAGAAGACATTTCTGTCTGTCCTCCTCTCTGTATATATCTGACTTTGCAATTAAAAAAACAAATAAAAAAAAAAAAGCAGGGGGGGTGTGCTAAATAGCACATAATCTTCCGGGTCTGAGGCTAGAATAATGAGCGTGCAAAACTCCCACCCTCAGAGTCCTTACACACTGTGAGAAATAAGAAAATAGTCTACGGCCATACCACCCTGAACGCGCCCGATCTCGTCTGATCTCGGAAGAAATAAGAAAATAAACGTAAACTGCAATTAAACATAGTCCATTGTACTTCCAGAGTTCTCCTAAGGAACTTGCGATTCTGCTGAGATGTGATGTCAGTAAAGGCATGAAGTGCGTCCACAGCTACAGCCACCTGACAAAGGCCTGGGACTGAACGGAGAGTGCGTGCTGGAGCTACAAGACCTGCCCAGCGCTCGACAGAGGTGGTGAGAGCCAGGCCCGCCAGAGAGCCCGGCCCGCCAGAGAGCCAGGCCCGCCAGAGAGCCCGGCCCGCCAGAGGGCAGGACTCTGTAAGCCTTGTCAGCACGTCTGGTCATCCCAAGATCAAGACACAATGAGTCCATGCTGACTCTGAACATGTGAGATGTGCTGCAGGTGGCAGTGGGCTCACGGGACACTGCCCGGCCTTCCCCGACACCGAGTGCCCCCTGAGATGTGCTGCAGGTGGCAGTGGGCTCACGGGACACTGCCCGGCCTTCCCCGTCCCGAGTGCCCCCTGAGATGTGCTGCAGGTGGCAGTGGGCTCACGGGACACTGCCCAGCCTTCCCCGACACCGAGTGCCCCCTGAGATGTGCTGCAGGTGGCAGTGGGCTCACGGGACACTGCCCAAGGCTTCCCCGTCCTGAGTGCCCCCTGAGATGTGCTGCAGGTGGCAGTGGGCTCACAGGACACTGCCCAGCCTTCCCCGACACCGAGTGCCCCCTGAGATGTGCTGCAGGTGGCAGTGGGCTCACGGGACACTGCCCAGCCTTCCCCGACACCGAGTGCCCCCTGAGATGTGCTGCAGGTGGCAGTGGGCTCACGGGACACTGCCCAAGGCTTCCCCGTCCCGAGTGCCCCCTGAGATGTGCTGCAGGTGGCAGTGGGCTCACGGGACACTGCCCAAGGCTTCCCCGTCCCGAGTGCCCCCTGAGATGTGCTGCAGGTGGCAGTGGGCTCGCGGGACACTGCCCAAGGCTTCCCCGACACCGAGTGCCCCCTGAGATGTGCTGCAGGTGGCAGTGGGCTCGCGGGACACTGCCCAAGGCTTCCCCGTCCCGAGTGCCCCCTGAGATGTGCTGCAGGTGGCAGTGGGCTCACGGGACACTGCCCAAGGCTTCCCCGACACCGAGTGCCCCCTGAGATGTGCTGCAGGTGGCAGTGGGCTCACGGGACACTGCCCGGCCATCCACAAGTGCCCACTCCACAGCTGTAACCTCCACATACTTTCTGTGTGTTCTTACTGCTCCTTCCTGTTGAACTACTTTTTTTTTTTTTTTAATTAACTGGCCCCATTTTCTTTTCTTTTTCTGAATTCACTTCAAGATTTACTTTATTATCTTTTCTGTCTTTTCTCTGTTTGCTTTACAATTATAGATATATACTTGAAAATGTTAGTGAAAAACAGAATTGGACAATAAGTTTCTTTCTGGTGCAAAAACACTGTGAAATCTATGCACTGAGGGATCTTCAAAAAGTTCATGAAAAATGCATACTTACAAGAAAACGATGCATGGATTTAGCTTTTTTGGGGTGGGGGGATGTACCAAAAAGAAAACTACCATTTAATTTTTTTTCCACTAATTTTTAAGTAACTGAATAAACTGCTATCTTCTAAAAATTTTGCCATAAAAGTGTTTTCAACCCTAGTATTCCATAAGCATCCATCTTCATCGTCTGTGATTTTTTTCCGTATCTTGTGTGTACACAGTCAAATGTGACAGCTTGACTGACTTCTGTAACAGAAACCTAGCATTTTATTTCAAGGGGGGTGGATCAGCAATTCCTTAACACATCATCTTCATCAGGTTAAATAGTAACCGAGGAGATAATTCGTGAGTTATCTTAATCATCTACACTATTATCTAATTGTACACCTCTCTGCCAATACCACACTGATGTTGTCATGATCCATTCCATGTTCAATGGAATTCTCTCCCCCATATTTGTTTGATTTTAGTTGGGTACCCTGTGAGAAGCTCTCGTTCTTATGAGACATTCAAGGGCGTTCAAAGTGTTTTAGGTAGGACAGTAAGGCTTCAGGCTACTTGAGAACATCCGACTGGAATGGAAGTGGGAACATCCTGGCAGGCAACCCTTCCAGACACCTACCACGAGTGAAGAGTCCCACAGACATCTCATAAGACCACTTACTATAATTCATCATTGATTTTTATTTAAAAAATTACAGGGAGCAATTTCCAGCATATCTTGTTTTATAAAAGTACTACTGCCTGTATCAAACACTTTACATCACTGTTAATTCCACTGAAGAGCTGCCTTTTTCATTCCAATTGATGGGATATATGCCCTCATATACAAAGTGCCTGTTATTTATTCAAATTTCAAAAATTAAGACTAGTGAGAAGTTTATTGCTTTATGACTGGGCAAGATTCTACTAGCATTTTAGGTAAATAATATTCTTTATTAAAAACTATGAGGTTGCTCTGTTTAAAACTTTCAGGGTAATTCACAGAAAATAGATATATTTATTCAAATGACACACTGAAGGGCTGGGTTACTAGCTATAAACATTTATATGTTAAGCAGCTCTTTAAAGAAATGAGAGACACATAAATAGGTCCATCTGTCTTGGTACAGATACATAATTTAAATGAATAAACCTGGAAGACCAACATTGTTACACTATGTTCTGTTAGGATCTTTTAAAAAAAATCAGACATTTAGTAGTCCATTTGTGCTTAAAATATTCATATGCATGAGAAGCTTAAAGGAGAAAAAAAAAACACCTTTGTACATGATATTCAAAAGAAAGTTAAAAATTTTTTTTGAAATTGCACTGTTATTTAACCCACACTCCTAATGGCAGACCCTCCTTGGCAGCTGGCACAGTCTTCCAGGTCTAATTGGCAACCTGGGGAGGCCCCTCTGGTATTAGTGAAGTGAAGAAGGTGGTGATGAAGGACCACGCAGACGCCATCAAGCCAGGCCTCTGAGCCGCGCCAGCATCTTCTCCTGCGTCCTCTCCACTCTCATCTCCAAGCCCATCATCCATGAGACGCTCCTGCCAGACAAACAAGAGACCCACTTCTCAGTGACTCCAGCTGGCATTCACACAGAGAAGGAAAGAGTTCCATTCTCTCGCTACAACAAAGGCATGTGGGCATGTAAGAAGGAAGTGGTACAAACGCGGTCTTGAGGAATGTTAAGTCCAAAATTGGCAAATTTCCCCACGTTAAAATTTGACATGAAAACTGCCACTGTAATAAAACATATTCTCAGCACGTTCTTTTCTTTCTTGGCTATTTCCCTCACTGAATCCTGAGACAAATATAGTCCATGTTCATGGAAGATGGAATTAAAATACGCTTATTCTGGCACACACAAACGTTAAAATCCATGTATAGAACAGGCCTTCAAAAAGTTCATGGAAAATATATACCCTCCAAAAACTATACACGGGTTTTAAAATTTTTGATCCAGTATTATATTCTAAGTTCTTCCACATGAAACCACAATAGATCCACTGGCTTCTCTGTATAAGCCACTCCACAATACAGAACATCTGTGATTTTTTAAAATTAAGATCGTCCCAAAAACGTAAAAGCACCAAAGCCTCAACACTAACATCCCATCTCCAACCCCCTCGGTACTAACGTGCACCCTCGAACCTTGGCGTTAACACACATCTCTGACCAGGGCTAACATACCATCTCCTCCAGTTCCAGATTGTGTGCGTTTTGGGCATCGTTGTTAACGTCGACGTTGTTGTTGGGAGCCTGCCGGTGACCTCCTTCCTGCCTAAAAGGAAACCATCCAGCTTGGTGTCTAGTCAATAAGGAGAAAAGAAAAGGAGTCACACTTGCTGTGATTTACAATACTACAGAACATCAGGGTTCTACAGGGTAAGTCTTCATCATAACTAAAACAAAGGAAATGACCCAACCTCTCACCGCAGACAAAACAAGAACCAATTCAAACCTAAGAGTTTATCACAGCTTTCACTGACTCTGTGTTAGATATTCAGGCCTATCAGGATTCATACAATCCCTTTAGTGGCATTTTTCTAAATGAAATACAACTAGACACTTTTTAATCCCTGAGGAGAAAAAGGAACAAGAGAGAAGTTAGTGGCTTGGGAAAAATGGACCTAGTCCCCGGATTTAACCCTAATAACCCTGAAGAAAGAACGGCCTTATGTGTGAGAACACCACACATTTCACTGTGTCTCATTCAATCCACAATACTTATAAAATGCAGGAAGCATTTTACAATCTATTTTATTAAATCTATTTCTAAATAAATCTGATAAAAACACTCTCCCCCAGCACAGCCTGTCTCTACTTTGGGAACAAAAACCTGTGAAATATCTGAAGCCCAAGGTTCACTCCCTCATTCAGCAATGACCACAGACTGCTGATGTCAGATTCTATATTTAGAAAACAAAAGATAACCAGCACCACGGAGTAGGATGCTAGGCCTGCGGGGCCAGCCTCCATATGAGTGCTGGTTCACGTCCCAGCTGCTCTACTTCTGATCCAACACTCTGCTTATGGCCTGGGAAAGCAGTAGAGGCTAGCTCACATCCATGGGCCTCTGCACCCATGCTGGACACCCAGAAGAAGACCTGG